TCTGGGACTGACAGCGAAGGCCACCACTGCCTAGGTCTGTTCATTTCCTTAGGTATTTCCACTGGAAGAGACAAATATTTTCAGGAGCTCAAACACAGCCTCTCCGCTCTCAGCCATACATTTTTTGTGCACCCCAACTCCTCAGTATAGAACCAGGGGTTGCCCATAGTAGCCTGACCAATTGGTGCCAAGGCTTGGCAATGGGGTGAAAGTGGACACCTTAGCCTCACTCACCCTTTCAGAGGTCCCTGACACCTGTTAGCCCCATGTCCTACCCTCTGCTAGGTTGGAGAGGTGTCCTAGACCAGAGCACAAAAGAAGGTACAATCTTTTGTTGTCTGTTGATTTGTTTTGTTTTGAGACAAGGTCTTAGGCAGCTCAGTGTGGTCTCAAATTCACTACGTAGCTGAGGATGACCTTGAACCTCTAATTCTCCAGAGTGCTGAGATTACAGGGGTGCACCACCACACCTGGTTTTAGGTGCTGCAGGGCATGCAAATCAAGTCCTAAGGCCTTCGAGGGAAGTATCTACTGAGCTGCCCCCCAGTTCGGAAGACTCAGCTCTTGAAGGTGAAGGGACACCTCCATCTTGAAGGGAGTTTCGCAGAGGAAGTGGAAACTTTCTCTGGGGAGGAGCTTTGTGTGTGAATACTAGGGAAAGGCAGAGGAAATGCCTGCTCTCATTTCCTGAGGCTGAGGCAGCGAGGGCCAAGCCAGGCAGCTGTGGGTGAGGCTAGCTAGGAAGTGGTATACACAGGGCAGTAGAGCAATGTTACCGAATGAGGGAAGAAGGCTGGGGGTGGGAGGCTTGGTCGTTATACTGAGGAATTTGGCCTCCAGCCCTACCTAAGAAGAGGCACTGGGCACGTGAACAACTCTCCTGCTCTGTCAGGCTTAGGAGTCCACCTAGAGAAGGAGCACAGCCATTGGGAGGTCAAGCCTGTAGTTCTAGCATTGTCTTTGCCTTACCTCAGTTTTCCCATCTGTCAAATGGGGTTTCCTTAGAGCTCTCTCAGCTTGGCAACCAGGCTTCTGTCTATTCAAATACTGTCAAGACAGAACAAAGCTGCTCAGAGGCCAAGAGAGGCAAATGCTTGAAACCCTACTTCCCTTCTTGGTTATGGACAGACAGCAGACATCTCTGCATGTCTAAGCCCTCATGACCCTTACAGACGTTCCCAGAGCCCTCATGTTCCGTCCCACAGTACACCGCACTACACCCGCACCAGCGGAAGCTTCGTCTTATACCTCACATCTCAGGATCCGAAAAGGAAACTTAGGGGCTTTGCGAGATAATATTTCTGGGAGCGGTCAGTAGTAGAACACATGCTTAGTGTGCAGTCATGGGTTCAATACTCAGCGCTGAGAAAAATAACTAGATAAAAATAAAGTTTTATTAAGAAAAACCACAAAAAAAAAATAACTAAATACAAATAAGTCAGTTGGTGGTGGCACGAACCTTTAATCCCAGCACTCCAGAGGCAGAGGTAAGCAGATCTCAGTGAGTTCAAGGCCAGGGTGGTCTACAGAGTGAGTTCCAGGGCAGCTGGGGCTGTTACACAGAGAAACCCTGTTTTGAAAAGCCAAAAGAAAAAAAATAAGTTTAAGGGGTTAGTGAGAGGACAGGATGGGTAAAGGTGCCTAGTGACAAGGCTGACGACCTGAGTTCAAGCCTCAGGACCCACACTGTAGAAGGAACAAACCAGTTTCTGCAAGCTGTCCTCCGACCTCCACACATGCGCAGTAGCACGTTAGCGCCCACACTGATACTTTTAAAAAAGGCTACATCCAGGCTGGAGAGATGGCTCAGTGCTTAAGCGTGCTTGCTGCTCTTTCAGAGGTCCTGAGGACCCCATTTCTGGGGTCACAACCATCTGTAGCTCCCGTTCTAGAGGATCCGACACCCTCTGCTGGACAACACGGGCACACACGCACACTTTTTTTTCTTTTTAAAGGAATAAAAGAAATTTAAGTTATCCCATGCATTCCCAGCAGGGAGAATCTACTGCGTGGTCAACTCGAGGGCTCAGCCCTGCTAGCATCTTCTCAAAATCGGGGAGAAATTGTCCAGTCGGTTGTCAGTTTTCAGCGGGGCGCTCTTGGGTTCCGGCATGGGACTCCGATTTCCTGCTGCTGGGGACCTGCTGCTGGCCTGGCTCCCAGGTACCCGGAGAGTCACCTCTCCTGGTACAGCAGCTGAGAACCTCAGGGACTGAGGGTGAAAAAGCAAAGGAGGTGACCAATGGGAGGGGGGGAATGTCACCCCCCACCTCCACTTAAGCTTGAGTCTCACTTCTTTATCCCTCTTAGCTTTATCACAGATCAAGGTCCCTAAGGTCCACTCAGGTTTTACCTAGGTTTGTGACAAAGGCCCTGACCCAAACTAGGAAAGACCAGGGGAATCCCCTTTATGATCTGGGCTGCTGAGCCAAGGAAGTGGGTTAGGGATTCAAGATTTAATCAGAGACTGGCGACTACTTGCCGCTTGTGCTAGGTCCTGGGGTTTGATCCTCAGCACCACATTAAGGGGAAAACGAAACAGCAGCAAACAAGACTCCATCAGAACACTCGAGAACGGCCCTGGAAGTTTCACTCATGGCAAAGGCGTGGGACAGACCTGGATTCAAGTTCAAATAACTGTTGAACTTGACAAGTCTTTTTTTTTTAATCAGCCAAATGGGGATAATTATTGCCCAGTATCATTGGGACCAGAGTTTGGGTTTTTTTGTTGTTTTTTGTTGTTGTTGTTGTTTTTGGGTTGGTGTGTGTGTGTGTGTGTGTGTGTGTGTGTAAGTTAGGGCACTCTCCAAACAGTTTTTGGGGACTTTTCCATAGCGCTGCCGCAGCAGAAAGCCACAGCTGCCGTCTCCTAGTTCCCGGGTTCTGGACTGAGTTCACCTGCTCGTCCTCCCAATTGTGCCCTCTCAGAGCACACTGAGTGACTCTGCTCCTTTCTTCACTCGAATCCTAAAAGTCTTAAGAGACTCCAGGAAGGGGCCAGAGAGACGACTCAACAGTAAAGAGCACTTGGTGCTCTTGCAAAGGACCTGAGTCCAATCCCCAGCACCTACAGCCAGCTGGAACTCCAGTTCTAGGGCCTTCACAGCAACCAGGCTGTACACGGTGCACATACGCACACGTAGTTGAAACCCTTGTGCAGGTGCGTGCACACACACATACACACTTTTCCTTCTTTTTCTTTTTTGTTTTTTAGTTTTTCTAGACAGGGTTTCTTTGTATGTAGCCCTGGCTATCCCGGAACTAGTTCTGTAGACCAGGCTGGCCTTGAACTCACAGAGCTGGCCTCTGCTGCGGAGTGCTGGGATTAAAGCTGAGTGCTGGAATTAAAAGCATGCACCATCACTGCCAGGCACACACACACACACATTTTTTAAATTTATTTTTTCAACTATTTATTCAAAATTAATTCACTTGAAATGAAGCACCTGAGGCCCAGAGGGCCCTTGACCGCCCTTTCTGAATCTGAGTAGTCCTGCACTTTCATAAAACCAATGGCAGCATCCACCCCACTCTCTTAGTTCTCTTGTCCTGTCTGATTGTTTGCATGTCTTTGTTTTCAGAGTCCCAGGTAGCCCAGGCTAGCCTCAAGCTCACTGTATCTCTGGGGTAGCCTTTGATCCCCCTTCTCCTGCTTCTACTTCCCAGGTTCTCACTTTTTAAACACTTTTACCATTTATATAATAGTTGCTAGTGTTGGGTATTATTAATATACAGGGGGTTTTGTTGATTTGAGACTGTAGTTCAGGTTGTCTTGGAACTCACTATGTAGACCAGGCTACCCTCTACGTTGTGCTGGAATTAAAGGTGTGCTTCACCATTCCTGGCTAGTGGTCTTTAAAACAAACAGTGATGGCACACGACTTTGATCCTAGTACTCAGGAAGCAGAGGCAGGCTTGTTATCTTTCTTTTCTTTCTTAATGATTTATTTTTATTTTATGTACATTGATGTTTTGTCTGCATGTATGTCTGCGTGAGGGTGTCAGATCCCCTGGAACTGGAGTTACAGATGGTTGTGAGCTGCCGTGTAGGTGCTGAGAGTTGAACCCAGGTCCTCTAGAAGAGCAGCCAGGGCTCTTAACTGCTGAGTCATTTCTCCAGTCCCTTGTTGAAGCTTTTTTTTTTTTTTTTTTTTTTTTTGGTTTTTCGAGACAGGGTTTCTCTGTGGTTTTGGAGCCTGTCCTGTAACTAGCTCTTGTAGACCAGGCTGGTCTCGAACTCACGGAGATCCGCCTGCCTCTGCCTCCCAAGTGCTGGGATTAAAGGCGTGCGCCACCACCGCCCGCCCTTGTTGAAGCTTTTTAAAAATAAGTTATTAGCCAGCAGGGTGATGCAGGCCTGCAGTTCCAGCACCCAGGAGGCTGAATTCAAACCCCCAAAATAAGGATTATCGCCGGGGTGGTAGTGGCCAATGCCTTTAATTCCAGCACTCAGGTCATCTCTGTGAGTTCAAGGCCAGCCTGATCTGCAGAGGGAGTTCTAGGAGAGTCAGAAAAAAAAGGAAAGAAAAGGAGAGGAATGGAGAGGGGAGGAGGGGAGGGGAGGGGAGGGGAGGGAAGAGGGGAGGGGAGGGGAGGGAAGAGGGGAGGGGAGGGGAGGGGAGAGGAGGATTAACACTGCATTTGATCCTCCAGCAGCAATTATTATTATTATTTGAGTTGTTGTTGTTGTTAAAAGACTCAGTGATTCAGCCTCAGGCCGAGGTCCGAGCTGTCAGATAATGAAAGCAATATTCCCTGACCAGGACACAATGGTTCCAAGCCCAGGGAACACCCTGTAGTTGGCCTCTTGGTGCCCCTCATCTCCTGCCTGTGCTTTTGAGAACTCAGAATTCATGTACCAGATCTTGGAACTTCGAGGCTAATTTCCTCCACCCCCAGGTTTGAAAGAAGGTAGCTCCCTTCCCCGCCCCCAAGCCCTCCTTCTTCCCTCCCCTTACCCCTCCCTATTTCCTCTGCCTCCTGGTTCAAAAGCAGCCAAACTCAAAGGGGCCTGCAGCTAGCCCTGAGCTCAATTCTCACAGCTGCTACCAGAGCCCGGAAGGTCCAGGATGAACGGCCTCCTCTTCCTCGCCACCATCAGTCTGCTGGTTGCGGTTCAGGTAAGGACAGTCCTGAGGGCCCTTACCTCCATCACCGGATCCCCACTGATGGAGTGGGCTGGGGTCAGGGAAGGAATGTAAGTTCCTGGGGGAGCCAGCCTTCTACCACAGTGACTGAGATAGATGGTTACCAACAGGAAACCTGGGATACAGGAGGGCCTGTGTGCCTGGGCCTCCACTCCTCTTAGGGCCCTCAGGGAAGCCCATGGTGCCACGTGAGGAAACCTCACAGGCTGTCAGGTACATGGAGGCACTCAGAGGGTTTTGTGCAATTCTGGATCATGAGGTATGGAAGAGGATACTCTGCCGAGGAGAGCCGCAAGCAACAGTCCTTTTTTTTTTTTTTTTTCTTCGAGACAGGGTTTCTCTGTAGCTTTGGAGCCTGTCCTGGAACTAGCTCTGTAGACCAGGCTGGTCTCGAACTCACAGAGATCCGCCTGCCTCTGCCTCCCGAGTGCTGGGATTAAAGGCGTGCGCCACCATCGCCCAGCGCAACAGTCCTTTTGGTAGGGGTGAGGAGATGTCTAACAGACCTGCCATAGGCGGTCGGGAGTTGTCACCCGCCCCTGCTTTAGGGAAGCCTGGGTGTGTGGGAATGCAGAGGCAGAAGTCTCCCAATCAGTCTCTAAATCAACCCTGGGAGGCGAGGCAGCCTTCGTGGCACCCATGTGCCCGGAGGGACCTGATTAACACAGGAACGAAGCCATCAAGTTCTTGATCAAGAACATCTCGACCAAGCATCTCGGGCAGTTTCACTGTCACCAAGGCTAGTTTGATTCCCATCAGGAGCGGCTTCAGTGGCCGCTCAATCGAGCATCCAGGACAACCTGTCACATCTGCTTATCTCCACCCCACGCTCTGCCAGGGACCTTTTCATTCAGCCCTGTCTAATGTCATACTCCCAGCCATGGTGGATTCTTCCTGACAAGAGACAAAATTCCAAAGTGGAGTACCACAGACCCAGAAGTGCCCCCGTGTTTCTGGGAGGGGAAACCATTCCTCAGGCTCAGAAGGGCAATGGGGGGGGGGGGGCTTCTGCTTCCCTCTGTGCTGGAAGATCTGGTGGCCTGAAAAGTGACAGGAAATGTCTGTGCGGTGGGAGAATGACAGGGACAGAGATGGCTTTATCACCGCCTGTGACGGGACAAGAAACCAAACAAACCTCCAACAGGGCCTATGGCAGAAGATGCAGAGGCCTAGCGTTGGGGAAGGGCACAAAGGGGACGGGTTCCTAACATGAGATTCAAATCCTCCTGAGCACGGCAATTCTCTTGCAGATACAAATGGGAGTCTTGGGAGATAATAACACCAATGTGAATCCTAACGTGGCCGCTCCTCCTCGTCCTGCTCCTGTGACTACCAAGGAGGGAGCCCCAAAAACTTCTGTGGCCAAAAAAAACCCTCAGAAACCCCCAAAGGGTGGGGCCTCCTCACTCATCGATGTGGGTTCCCGCAGTTTCTTCTTCTTCGCCAACACCTTAATGTGCCTCCTCTACCTCGGCTGAGGTGATGATGTTGCTTCTACAGCCCTGTGCTCCTCAAACTGCCGCCACCATCAGTAGCAAGAGACACCCCAACCCAGTCTTTGGAAAGTGTTAACACCAGAGAGCCCAGGAAGTGAAAACTGACAGCCAATGGCCAAAATGGGGAGGTGCTGGTGGAAGGGGGCAAGTGACACGCAGCCGGGGCTCAATAAAGTTCTACTTCTGCTTAGCGGGGGCTCCCATGTGCTCACTGGTTACTACCGACCCCAGGAGGCACAGTGTGCAGCAACACTGGCTTTCTGTGGCCATGTGCAGGGAAGGTGGCAGCAAGGCACTCCCCCCCAGGTTCCCTAACTTAGAGTCACCTTGCAGAGACAAGGACAGGAAACTGTCACCCTCTCTGCCACTGTTAGTTGTATTTGCTTCACTTGGGCCTGGTACTTGGGAGTGACAGATCCAGTTCTATCCCCCGCCCCACACAACACCTCTCAGGCTGTCTCCCACCCCCATGACCCAGGTGTCTTCATAATGACAGATGTGGGGACATCAGAGACCACTTGGCTCTGTTTCTCTCAAACCCCCAGCTGGAGCGCTGTAGACCCAGAAGCACCCCCGTGTCTGGGAGGGCTCACGGAAGGGCGTCTCATGAGTCGTCTATCACGGGGCAGGTGTTGCCACGCACGCCCACAGCCAGGGAAGGCAGGAAGGACAATCAGGCTCCTCTAAATGCTCCTCCTGGGCTTGGGGCTGCAAAGTGACAGGGAGCCCAGACCGGTCCCCAAGACCCTTGCCTTTGTGTCTTCGCAGGAATCTATGCCCAGAGGACTGGAAAGTGACTACAGCTCTGGGCCTCTGACAACCTGACCTGTCCCCTAGCTAGGGACCCAGCCCCCTCTGACAGCCTGACCTGTCCCCTAGCTAGGGACCCAGCCCCTTCTGACAGCCTGACCTGTCCCCTAGCTAGGGACCCAGCCCCCTCTGACAGGCTGACCTGTCCCCTAGCTAGGGACCCAGCCCCTTCTGACAGCCTGACCTGTCCCCTAGCTAGGGACCCAGCCCCCTCTGACAGCCTGACCTGTCCCCTAGCTAGGGACCCAGCCCCCTCTGACAGCCTGACCTGTCCCCTAGCTAGGGACCCAGCCCCCTCTGACAGCCTGACCTGTCCCCTAGCTAGGGACCCAGCCCCTTCTGGTTTTTGGACCAAAGTCAAGCCTTCAGGCTTTGAGACTGGAGCTGGAAGAAGCAGGGAGGAGCCCAGGACAAGGCTTCTTGGGTGAAGACCCCCTCATCTCTCTTGCCATGCCCACTGTGGGCTCACACCCTGAACCCTGAAGCTCTCACCCATGGACACATCTGTATTCCTAGAATACTTTCCTCTGTTTCCTCTATTTGGCCTGGCTAACTCCTTCCCTCCCCGTGTGTGTGTCAACTAGGGGTGCTTTTTCAAGTGTCACAGACTTCCACTTCCATTCCGTAGCACCCATCAGAAACCTGCACTGGAAAGCAACACAGAGAAATCCTGTCGAGAAAGAAAGAAAGAAAGAAAGAAAGAAAGAAAGAAAGAAAGAAAGCTGCACTGGGATGGGATAGAGGGCTTTGGTTGTGCCCCGCCCCCACAGTCAGGGAGGCAGAATTGGCTGGCACACTAGTTACTCTGGTTCTGGAGCTCCCTCTGGTGGTAAGGGAAGGCTGTACAAAGAGAGAAGCCAACCTGGAGGGGGCCAGAAGGGTAACGGGGACCATCTCCCTCCCAAACCAAGGTGCAAAGACATGCCAACACCCGGCAGCGTGATAGAAAACAGCTGATGTTACAGCAAAGGATCTATAAAAAAAACATTTCATCCCAGCAAAAACTTCCGGCAGGAAACGGGGTGAAACTGGTTCAAAGTACATAGACAGTCCAGATCTGGGAAGGCCTGTCTTTGGTTGGTTCCCACAGCACCACGTGGTCCCGGTCATAACCTCGGCCGCCTGAGGGGGAGATTCAGAGGTGGTCAGGGTGCTGGAGACAGCACTGTCTCCAGTCCCCTTGGGTGCCCCCCCCCCCCCCCCCAGTCTATGTTACCCTTCACGTCGAGGATCTGGCCTTCAAACATCTGGCTGCAGATGTGACCCAATTCACTGATGCTCCAAGTTTGGCGTGGTAGGCGGCTCTCGGCCCAAAGTACTACTTTGGAGCCTGGGCTTGGAGGTCCAATCACCTGTAGGCTCATGGTGGGGGCCACCTGAGGCCCCAGAAGATCATTAGACATTGCACTCCCCACAGGAAATCTCCCAAGCTCAAGCTTCAGACACTGGATTTTTGTTGCTTGTTTTGTCTTTGAGACAGTGTCTCACTATGTAGCCTTGGCTGGCCTGGAGCTTACAGATATCCAACTGCTTCTGCCTCCTGAGTGTGGGATTGAAGGTGTGTGCCACCATACCCAGCTCATAAACTGGTTTCGAATGCTGGCTATTACAACTGTAGCCCCAGGCAAGTCTCTTTATCCTTTTTAGATTCATTTATTTATTTTATGAGGGTTTTTCCTGATGGTAAATCTGTGTACCACATACATGCCTGGTGCCCACAGAGGTCAGGAGAGGGCATCAGATCCTCTGGAAATGGAGCTAGGGATGGCTATGAGGCATCATTTTTGTGCTGGGACCTGAACCCAGGTCCTCTGCAAAAACAAGTGCTTTTAGCCATTGTGTCATTTCTTCAGCCCCAAATACTGGTTTTCGGAAGGTTTAACATGAGAAAAAGAAAAAAGGCCACATTCTCTACTTCCTCCAGGCATCTTGGATCTAACCTGGCAGGGACTTCCTATAGTAGTGTGGCAAACCCGGAGCTCAGCAGAGCCGGCTCCGGAGTCTTTACCTGGTTCTTCAGCAGTCCCTCTTCATAGTACCAGACGCAGCTGCCCCCAGCTCGGGGCTCAGAGACCACCACACGGCCTGCTTTCATGTCCTCCACGCGATCAGGCACTGCCAGGAACCCCCCTAGCGCCGCATTCCAGAGGCGGAAGTAGGCTCGGCGCTGCGGACAAGGAAAGGCTGAGAGTCTGCAGCCCGGGGTGACCACCACCCTCAACCCTGGGCCCTCTAGAAGACCCACATCCCCAAACTCTCCCTGCCTCCAAACTTTTCCTGACCCTGCTTCTAAATCACACCTTCTTTATATACCCATCCTGAGGGCACATGCATAGCACACGTGCCCAGTTCTGTGACCATAGATACCTACACATGTGTCTAGGGTTCCTGGCCGATACACCCACAGTCCACAAGGTGGCACAGTTTACAGAAAGCACAAACAATTCCACAGGTCCATGCAGTCATCACATTCCCACATCATAATTGACACAAAGATCCCCCCAGTCTGTTCAGTACGAAGAACCTATGCTTGCTACAGGTACAGCTAATCGTAATAATACAAATGCACGCATGCACACACACATACACACATGTGAGCATTCGCGCGCACACACAAGAGAAATGCATGCATGCATACATGCTGAAGCTAAAGAGAAATGCATGCATGCATACATGCTAAAGTTAAAGAGAAATGCAGTGATACCAGAGAGATCAGAATGGGCTTGGCCAGCAGTGGCAGGGCCTTCGTTAGAGGGGACAGTCATGGAAACAACGAGGAAAGCTCTAGGTGTCATCTGTGGAGTGCTTCCCACTAGCGTGTCACCCAAGGGTTCTGCAGTCATGGGCCCTCAACCAAGTCAGGACTGTTCCCGTTCCCTCAGTTTATAGATGAGGAAATGGCCGAGCATGGTGGCGCACGCCTGTAATCCCAGCACTCGGGAGGCGGAGACCCGCGGGCTCTGTGAGTTTGGGGCTAGCCTGGCCTACATAGAGAGTTGCGGGCCAGCAAGAATTATATAGACATAATGAGGCCCTGCCTTAATATTTAGGTGCACACACACACACACACACACACACACACGGAAACCAAGATCCCTGAGGGGCAGCGCTTGCCCAAGATTGCAAACAAACTCCTTGCCCACTTCCCTGGGCCTTTATTTCCCCCACTGCCATGAGAGTCTATGAACAGAGAGACTACACACATGCCCTTGTACATGGATGTATATATTCATTCACAAGGCTACTGGGCAGAGGTGTGAGCAGGCACACATACACATGCCCATGTCCATACGCATAAAAACATACAAGTCACCTCCAGAGTACTTAGATGCATGACTTCAAATGATGTAGGCACAAACATACTCTTAGATGGGCACATGTATCTGTGTGTGTACACACATACACGCAGGTTAGTGCCCTAGAACTGTATGTATGCAGAAATGAAGCCAACTTCTAGACAAGCAGGTACAGACATGCACCTCACGTGCAAGCTTCATGCTTCCCAAAGCCACGTGTGCCGACTGCTGGTATGTGGAGCGTGAGGTGATTCTCAGCTTTGGGAGAATAAGTCTATTGTATACACTGTAGAGTCTTTTAGGACAAACACAAAGTTGATTCAGGGGAGACTACTGGGATGACGATACAGGAAGAAGCTAAGGACAAACTGTGGCAGAAGGACACAAACATCAAGCTTTGAAACACACCCTGAGGTGCTCACGCTGACTGCTACCTACCTGTTTGATGGGGTAGAGGGAGCCCACCCTCTGGGTGCCGCTGTAGGTCAGCCAGTTGGTGATCTCGCAGCTACTTACTAGCCACTGTCGTCCCCGGAAGTCACTGTGCTCACACACCACCCAGCTGCACCAGGCAGATGTCAGAGACACAGAGGGATGCACACAGACAGACAGACAGACAGAGAGGACAAGGCACAGGTGTTAGAAGAACCTCAGCGTCCTCTTCCCTCACACAGGATGAGGGCCCTCTGGGAGAGAAGGCTAATGGGCAGATTTGGGGTTTTCAGGACCCAGCATTCATCCAAGCCCTGAGACCCTCAGTCCACACTGCTCCCTCCTTCCTGGCCTGGAGTGGGGTCCCCAGCCCACCACTCACCCAGTCCAGCTAGGAGCCCCGCCCCCACACTCACACGCCACCCTTGACGCGCACAGACAGCACGTGGTTGTTGAAGCCCTGGGCCTGTAGGCTTCGCACCTCCCCGGTCAACTCGATCTCCTTGCCCTCGAAGCACTCCAGGCCGAAGAGGGACAGGGAAGGCTCTGAAAAGTGCTGGGGCCGAAGAAAGAGAAGAGGTCGTGACCCGAGCCCAACGCAGCTGTCTTACAGTCTCAACGCTTGTGCCCAGGCCTGCAGGCCTCTGAGTTT